CTACACCGTGACACGTACCACTGACACACGTGGATGTACCACGAACCGATACAAATGAAGGCATATAATCCATAAAAAAAAAAAACTCTCAAAGGATCAAACACACAATTCCATCATATTAAGACAAGAATATACTTTAAGAACAGAGGTCCATTTGAATTACACAGATTACCAACAGATGAGAGATGAGGTGAACGAAAACTGACGAAGGGTGAGTGGTACATTAAGGCATCTGTGTTGACAAAGAACTTTATCTATGGAGGCAAAAATGGGAATGTAGGAGAGTATAGTGGAACCAACGCTTTTGCATGACTTTTGATTGTTGTAGCGAGGAAGAGGCTGAGGCAGTAATGTCGTGTTGCAGGGCAATGTGTGGTGTGAATATTATGCAGAGAATTCGGACTTTGGAGAGTAAGAGGTGTGTGTAGACAGCCTGTACTGTCTGCACAGACAGCCTATGCTGTCTGCCAGCTTAGTTCATATTTCGCGCCACTAAAGTGCTGCCCTCTGGGCCTGCTCCAGGTCTGTGGGATGCTGGGCCCACACTCACTCACTCACACAGCGGCCTAGCAGGAAGACACAAGGCCTACTAGTTCTTCTCGTGGGATGGCCCTCCTGGGCCATGGGCACAACACACAAGCCTGTGTACCCACGACGACTTTACTAATAAAGTAAGAAGCCTCCGAAGACGTATCATTAACTCCACGCCACTGCATCACCCAAATAATCGCATTAAACAGGTGTGCCGTCACCAGAAGTATTATCCAGAGGGCTGAGGGATTTTTGGGAGGATCTGCACATTTAGAGAGGATTGAGAAAAACAGAGCGACTTGGAGGGCATATAAATCTTGTGTGGAGGGAAGGAAGGATAGGGGTCGTCTTCGGAAAGGTTGGATGGAGAGGATAAAGAAGATATTGAGCGCTCTTCTGGCAAGAGTGACTGAATGACAGTGGAAGTATTATCTTCTCTGTCGGGTCGCCTACCTCGGTGGGAGATGGCCGGAGTGTTAAAAAATAGAAGTGAATTAATAAAGTAAGCCTAAATTATTATTTATCTGAATCCGTGTGGTTCATTCAACACAGAGTGGTGGAAGCTCTGTCCTTCGTCCAGTAATCGTGACCCGCTTTTTGACCAGTCAGGTCGTTGGTAGCCAACGGAGTATATTTAAAACATTTGAATGTAAAAACAATTTGCAAGTTCATGCATTAATTTCGGCTTCTGACAAAAGCCATGAAGCAGGATTAAAGCCAGCTTAATTAAAGTTATTCCTAGATTTATTCCATCTTTTTCAAGGTCTATCCCAAGATATGAGAACATTAAAATGTGACTAAATATGAAAACATGGGAAGCAGTGGAGAGGTAAAGATGATGTGGTCAGTCAATCTACCACCGGGTATACCTAACTGTGGCATATATAACATTACACCATGACTCACGAAATCGTAATGACACGATTGCAAACAAACCATACCACGGGCGGGGTAGAACCCGCGATCAGAGAGTCTCAAAACTCCAGACGGTCGCGTTAGCCACTGGACCAGCTAGCCACAATAAGATTCGTCCAACTAGGTATAATATACCTAGCTGGACGAATATATATATATATATATATATATATATATATAATATATATATATATATATATATATATATTATTGTACCCACGGAACAAGTGGTTATTGATCAATAACAACACTGCACTAGCCAAGGAGTCGAACCCATGCTGTTTTGGCCCGCCTCATGGTGAGAGAAAACGCATGACGCTTTAGACCACTAGACCAGGATTGCGTGGACTAGTGGTCTAAAGCGTTATGCGTTTTCTCTCACCATGAGGTGGGCCAAAAGAGCATGCATTCGACTCGTTGGCTAGTGCAATGTTGCGGTACGTTTATTGTCTTCTGAGGATGAGGGTCCCCAGTCCGGTTCTAAAGGTGGAACCTTTAATATATTATATATTATATATTATATTATATATATATATATATATATATATATATATATATATATATATATATATATATATATATAATATATATATATATACTTATATATATATATATGACATATTGGTTTATCAGTTCCATACTGAGACTAGAAAACAGCTTCTCCCATACACGTGCACAGCACTTCCCTGGCATACACGGTGTGGTTGGCTGGCTCCGCAGTATTGAGAGTTATCATTAGACTGTACATAAGTTATCACCCATCATGAAAACTGACTCGAGCTTGTGTATGTGACAGTAGATGCAGGCACCATTCCGGTGATGTTTATACCGGTAGGTGTTGTACACCATGTCCAGTCATTGGTGTTTGGATGGTTCTTACGACTGCAAGTTGTGCAAGCACCCCGGAAAACAAGACAAAGACGCAAGGGACATGGTTTCGCTTTATATTATTATAGTTTACCCAATCATGGCCAAATAAAGCTCTATACAGAGTGAAACGTAATCCTAATAAAAATTGTTCCTGTGACCTGTGTCCAGTGGTTTTCATCCTTCGCAGGCCGGCCAGAGGCCAGTCTTCCTTACTGTCTTCCTATCAACCAGGCTGTTGTTTTTTTGATAATTGCCGCCATCACGTCATTTCCTCCAAACACCGTGGACGTGATCCTTTTAAATTTTGTAATAAATGGTATACAATACTGACAAGTTAAGAAGTAAGAAACATTTATAACAACTTGTCGGTATTGTATACTATTTATTATCTGATACTTGTCTGACACTGCAACACAATACGAAGTCTTCAGTAACTCTTCTGTTAACATCTGTTTAACATGACCTACTTCTCACCTCTGAACTCATCTCCAAGCTGCTACCCCTCACCTTCCTCTATATAAGCCTCTGCCTATATGCTCCTACTATAGAGAACAAAAAAGCACAAAACCGTAAGTGCAACAATACACAAATAACCAGCAAATAAAGAAAAACTGATGACGTTTCGGTCCAACTTCGACCATTTAACACACAGAGTCGGCAGTCCTATAAGACCAATCATAAGTTCTGAAGGTTCTGCATCCTACAGATTATCTACATGGTTAGTTAAAATATTAACCCCCAATTGTAGGTACCATTTCTTCTTCTCATGTTAATAATAATGTTGATCTCATTGATAAACGTTTATGTTTTAACATTTCTAATGATTTCATACTCATTAGTAGTAACACTAACTTGTGAATGGTCCGAGTCAGACAGAAACGTCGTCATAAGCTTCACTCTCCTATATGCGGGTTATCAGTGTATTCTACTACAGACTAAGAGACTTGTCATCCTGTTCGTACGGTGAAGGACTGATTTCATCAAACTATCTTTCCATTTCGACTTCCGTCAGCGCTCATGTCTCCAAAATTCAGATTAATCACTGTATTCGACTGATGTAGGCTGCAGTGCAGGTGGAACGCCTCGTCAATAAAGATTCATAGTGCTGCAACTGCGCCTTTTATATTCGCCTCTGGGGGAGGGGAGTGTATTTACCAAGCCGAATTAGCGGGTGCTGAGCCCCAACCTCTAACTTTCTGACACTAGGCGAGGCGAGTACAGTGCTGTTAGTGTCTCTCTCGTGCAAGGAGGACGGACGATTGTGCCTCCATTACAGCAACATGTAAACACACCGCCGTGTACACACAACAACGTGTAAACACTTCACCAAGTACGCACAACATGTCAACAAATCATGCAAACCCACCATCATGTCAACACGTCATGTAACTTCAAGACAACATGATAAATACAAATGCTAAGATACACAAAAATAAGCATCTATGAATCAGAGACAGAGATAACTGGTTTGCTGTGAACAAGCATCAATAACACTCCTAATAATCTCTATTTAAACTCAATAATTGTTGAGAGAGGGAGAGAGTCAGACATACAGAGAGAGACAGAGGTACAGAAAGAAACAGAGACAGAGAGAATAATAACTTACCACTACAAATCAAACCGACAATTTACAAATAAACACTACAGCTATCAATTCATTAATGTAGATAACTTACAAGTGAGGTAGACTATGTACAAAAAAAGAAATGCCAAATCAGCCAGGGTGTGAATGTTATGTCTGGTTGACCAGACAGCCAACAAAGGAAGTGTGCCCTTGGGCAGGCTGCAAGAGTAGAACCCTGGAAACAGGTCACAGGTAACAACACTCTTACTGTATTAAGCAAAAGAGAGAGAGAGAGAGAGAGAGAGAGAGGAGAGAGAGAGAGAGAGAGAGAGAGAGAGAGAGAGAGAGAGAGAGAGAGAGAGAGAGAGAGAGAGAGAGAGAGAGAGAGAGAAATGGTCTGGCGACGTATTTGTGTACATGTACAGCTAGACCGTACATGTACACCGAGACAAGGTAAAAACAGGAAAGCAACTTGTCCAGTCATTCCCAAAGAAAACAAAAAAGCTGCATAAATTTACTAACAAAACAACAAACAGTTAAGTGCCTAAGAAGTGTTGTCAACTTAGCTGCTGAGCCGCACATTGAAGAGTCCTAGTATCGTGACTGTAACAACCTTGGTTGCTTGGTGAATTGTACTTGAAGCCAATCTATTACACTAGGGTCATTAAGGCTTCATGCAACCTTTTCATCACCAGTCATGAATACCTTAATCCCTAAAGTAGGGATGAAAGTAATTTTTTATTGTATATACAGTGAGATATAGTAAGTATATTCACCTCTTGGTAGTGGAATGGTAGGTATACTGGTTTTTCCACCAATGAATTAACAGACCAAGAGCTATTATCCTATCTCAGCTTATTTCAAAGTCGAGACATACCTTAAGCATATGACACTTTTCCCTTTCCCGGACTAACTCCAGGATGCAACCCACAACAGTTGGCTAAAACTCAGGTGCCTATGTATTGCTGGGTGAACAAGGGAAACGTGTGTTCAGAGCTCTAACTCGCCCAACATTGAACCAGAGTCCACGAGACAGTGTGATTGAAAAGATAAATATTGAAAACTTACCTGAACACACTACGTCAAGTTGAACAAAATAAAAAAAGGTTAGTGAGCTCACCTGAGCAAAGGATAGACGTGTTGGCTTCTTGAAACTTCGTGGTGGTGGTTCTTCAAAATGTGTTCTTTCTCCTCTAATAGACGTGTTGCTTTCTAATTCTCTCTCTCTTGCTCACTTGCTATTCTGATGTAGCTGCAGATGCTAAATGAATTTTTGTTCTTCTAGCCAATAATATTACTTTCTCTTTCTTGTTCTTCACGCGTTATCTTCAACGCTTGGTGGTCAGCTTGCTATCTTGCTAAAGCTGCAGTTATCTCTATATATTATCGATTTGTCTTGACTTGTGTCCCCGTGAAGCACTCCTTCAAGCAGAGTTTTTGATGAGACGCCTAACCAAAGCTATGCAGAGAAAACTCAAACACAGACCCAAAGATTACAACAAACAGTCCTATCGCACTTTTTTTTTTTCTTTCAAAACTTTGTTTTTTTTCTGCAAAAATTATATAGACCTCTCTCTGTATAGTTTCTCAAATAAAGTATATTTATATATATAACATATATATATATATATATATGTATATATATATATAGGTATTTATATATGTATATTATCACATACACTCATTAAAGCATAGCCATCAGAATTAGTTTATATATATAATACATATATACATTTTTTACAGAGTTTAGCCCGCAGCCATGGATAACAGTGTATATAGAGTTGTGTTTCACTGTGGTTCCCCGAGTTGATGGTTGTGGTAAAGGGGAAGGGGGGAAAGGAAGGAAGGAAGGATGGAAGGGGATGGAGGGGAGAGGGAATGGAGGTAGAGTTTGAAGTGGATGTGTCTGAAGGAGGATGAAGAACTGGCTATAAAAGAAGAGGAAGCGAGAGATTATTCTCGCCTGTTGGGGGTGAGCGGTAGTTGGTGGGTAGGAAGTGTGGGAGGTAGGAAGAAGAGAGGAGAGAGACAGAGAGACTACCCCGGCCTGGTGGAGTCAAAAAGAAGGAAGAGGGTGGTGGGGTTGGTGTGGGTGTTGGGGGATATATAAAGCTGGTGGTGGGGAGGAGGTAGAAGGGAAAGGATAAGCGTTGAATTTCTCAGTAAGCCGCTGCTCAAGGTGAAGCAAGCACTCGACCACTCGGTGTGTGTATACTGGATATATCACTTGTTGTAAAGTAGATTAGCTTTCTTTAGGATGGAGTCTGTAGGGAGCACTAGTCGGCATTGACTCGTTCCCAGCTGTGCAACTCGTCCCTAGGCTACGAGTGGGAGGTCCTGGAAAATCCTGAGAATGCCTGTGATATTCTGGTGGTTAGTGGTATGCGCCGTGCCTTCGCTTGTAGGCCAGAACCAAACTTGGCCTTGCCCTAGGGGCTCCGCTGAAGCGGAGCTGGCGCTAGCTAGCTGGTTGTGGGCTCCTCCAAATCCAGAAGTGAGACGTGGTGCTAGCGGCGGCGAAGGCGTGATAATAATCCTGCTGGTGATGGCGTCGTGGTGGAGACGGCGGCGGCGGAACTATAGTGGTGCCGGTGGTGGCAGTACAGTGGTGGCAGTCACGTGTGGTTTGCGGCAGCGGCGACGACGGTGATAACTGGGCGGCGGGCGGGTAGAAGAGAGGTCAGGGGTTCATATCTCTGTCACGGCACATGATGGTCCCTGTCTACGGCTGTTTGAGCGACCTGGTTGACACAAGACGCAGGCTCAACATAAGGCACGCTGGACAACCATCAGGACTCCAGCGCACTGCCCCAAACCTGCTGCGGCTGCTGCTGCTGCTGCTGCTCTTGCTTCTTCTGCTGCTCCTCTCGCTGCTGCTCTGGCTGCTGAGGATGCAGATCTCTCTCGCCTCTTCCCACACCTGCAACAACAATGCAGCATAACACATTATCACTGGAAAAAATGCCTCCATCGAACATATTTACACATAGGAAAACATAATACCTGTCCCCTATGACGACGGTGATGATAATGGTGAGGAAGCACTAAATCCGCAGGGGTCATGCGGAGTTAATCGGGTGCTTTATCTAAGGAAGGGAAAAGTAACTGCAGAGTCGTGTATGAAGAGTCCTGCAGCAACATCAAACAATATTAACTACGGAGTATGACAAGCACCATCCTCTAACAAACTACAATCTTATTCGGTGCTTCGAAATGAGTGACACGTTGCATTAGCATGTTTACATAACAAATATAGAGGTGCTGCAACCATGCTAACCTACAGAGCCAGTTGATCCTGCTTTATAAACATTAACAATCACATCACACACACTGCAACATATCACTGCAGTAAAATCACTGACGTAGACACCATTAATATTTTTCATCACAGTGAGATTCATGAGTCACTTCATAATGACTCGTGAGCTATTATGACCACTGTCACTTTAAACCACTCCTCTTCCTGTCCCTTCAACCAGTGACACCATGGTTTATTTCCAAGGGCTTTCAAAATGTTGTTTTAAACCAAGACAGGACTCACAGCAATTACCTGGAATTTACAAGGAGTCGTTTCCGGAGGCCAGCTCTCCCGCAGCCCGGCCCCAGACCAGGTTTCCTGGTTCCTGGCCTGATTGATAAAGGCATTAGCGCCCGCCGCCGCAGTCGAACGGGGGTCAAGTTCGATGGCTTTATAAGAACATAATAAAGAAGGAACACTGCAACAGGCCTACTGACCCATGCAGAGCAGGTCCATGTCCCCCCCCCGGATTATCCCAATGACCCACCCAGTCTGGTCATCCCCACTCAAGGATGGAGCACTGTACCAGACCCAGCAGCACAAGCTAGTCAGGTCCAACTCACACCCACTCATGTATTTATCTAACCTATTTTTAAAACTACACAACGTTCTAGCCTCAATAACTGTACTCGGGAGCTTGTTCCACTCATCCACAACTCTATTACCAAGCCACATTTAGATTTAGAAAGGATATAGGGAAGTAGGTCTACTAGTTTGGAAATAGAGTTGTAGATGAGTGGAACTAACTTCCAGGTAGCGGCATTGGAGGCGACACCTTGAGTAGCTTTCAATATAAGATGAACGAGTATGCACAGAGACGCACATAAATCGATTAACATCTGCATCATATGCGAGGTCAGCTACTCTCAAAACTTCCTTTAGGCTACAGTTGGTGGACACCTTCATCAAGGCTGAAGGAAAGGAAGATTACCTTATCTTCTACTGTCTCCACTTTCATTACCTCCATAACCTCTGTAGTGAACTGATAAAACCACCGTTGGTGAAACATCTTCAGAATAAGATACCTAGGTGTTGCACAAGTGTCTTGTGCATCAACTTGTTGACACTTGATCTGATAAGTGGCTATTAGAATTTAACCCCAGCAAAGGAAAAGTTAAGAAACTCAGGAAAGGGCAAAGAAGACTGGAAACAGAGTACGGGTTCGGATGACTACGGCTGCAAACCTTCCACAAAGAGGATCTCGGGGTGAGCATAGTCCCAAGCATTTCTCCTGAGACACACATCAACTGGGTAACGGCTGCAACAAACAAGACACTGGTAAATTTAAGGGTAGCTTGCAGGAACATCAACTAGGAGGCATTCACGACCTTATTCAAGACACGTGTCAAGCCAATCTTAGGGTATGAAACACTAACAGCCGCATCTGTTAAAGCGTGTAAAGCTGAGAAAAAGTGCAAAAGTTTACAAATAAACCAGTTCCAGACTTGAGGGGTATGAGCTATGAAGAAACTGAAGAAACACTAGACACGTTAAAGCTGACGACACTACAGGACAGGATTACGGGAGACATTATTACAACGTACAAAATACTGAGAGGAATTGACAGGGTGAACAGGGAGAGTCTGTTTAAGAGGAGGGTCTCAGGTACACGAGGTCACAAGTAGAAATGAAAAATACAGATGAATCACAGGGATGTTAGGAAACATTTCTTTAGTCTTAGAGAGGTCAAGAAGTGGAACGACTTAGAAACAGGAGTGGTTGAGGCAGGATATGCACATAGCTTCAAGAATAGTTACGGCAGCCAACTGAAAGTGAACCCAATAGCGGACAGAAGAGGTGGGGGCCAGAAGGAGACTTGATCCCTGTAACCACAATTATATGAACACACACACACACACACACACACACACACACACACATCGACAAGTACCTTTGACAACCGGTAACGAACATGAGGCAGCGGCATAGGAAAGACTGGTAAACCTCAGAGCAGCATTCAGGAACACGAATAAAGAATCCTTCAGAACCTTATACACGACATATGTTAAGCCAATCGTTGAGTATGCGGCCCCAGCGTGGAGCCCACACCTGGTCAAAAATTTGAAAGAAACTGGAAAAGGCCCAAAGGTTTGCAAAAAGGTTAGTTTCAAAACTGGGAGAAATGCTTTACTATAAGAGGTTGAAAACCCTGAATTTGACGACTTTAGAAAAGAGAAGGAAAAGGGGGGGATGACATGATTACTACGTACAAAATCTTAAGAGAAAATGATAGGACAGATAGGGACAAACTGTTTGATTTAAGAGAGCTAGGATCAGAGGGACGCAGATGGAAACTGAGACGCAGATGCATCATAAAGATGTCAAGAAGTATTTCTTCAGTCTCAGGATAGCCGATAAGTAGAATGACTTGGATGATGCAGTGGCGGAAGCAAACTTAATACACAGCTTCAAGAGTAGATATGAAAAGGCATAAGAGGCCAATAATGCCCATCAAGCTTGTCCAAAAAGCGGAGCCAGGAGCTAAGCACCGACTCCTGCAAACACAAGTAGGTGAGGAAAATCGTAGTACACACACACACACACACACACACACACACACACACCAGGCACATCTCCTGAAGCGCACATCAACCAAATAACTGCTGCAGCATATGGGCGCCTAGCAAACCTCAGAACAGCATTCCGACATCTTAATAAGGAATCATTCAGGACCCTGTACACCGTGTACGTTAGGCCCATATTGGAGTATGCGGCACCAGTTTGGAACCCACACCTAGCCAAGCACGTAAAGAAACTAGAGAAAGTGCTAAGAGGTATGTCCTACGAGGAGAGGTTAAGGGAAATCAACCTGACGACACTGGAGGACAGGAGAGATAGGGGGGACATGATAACGACATACAAAATACTGAGAGGAATTGACAAGGTGGACAAAGACAGGATGTTCCAGAGGTTGGACACAGTAACAAGGGGACACAGTTGGAAGCTGAAGACACAGATGAATCACAGGGATGTTAGGAAGTATTTCTTCAGCCACAGAGTAGTCAGTAAGTGGAATAGTTTGGGAAGCGATGTAGTGGAGGCAGGATCCATACATAGCTTTAAGCAGAGGTATGATAAAGCTCACGGCTCAGGGAGAGTGACCTAGTAGCGATCAGTGAAGAGGCGGGGCCAGGAGCTCGGACTCGACCCCCGCAACCTCAACTAGGTGAGTACACACACACACACACACAAACAAACAAACAAACAAGAAGAAAACTTGAGACACTCTACACATGACTGTCCCACAAATCACGTCACAAACGAGGTTAAACCAACAAAGAGTTTAGACTAAGACAAAAAAAAGTGGCTAAACATCGCTCTATCAACAGTAAAAGTTTGGGGATATCTGCAACCTAATCCAATACACAAATACTCGAGATCACAGCTTTGTAAGATCAAAGTTCACAACCTCTCTCTCTCTCTCTCACACAGCGACCCGCGAAGCGGGGTCATGAGCTGTGAATCGAACCCTGCAATCACAAATAGGTGAGTACACACACCCCGCAGCTCACCTCTACAGGGTAGGGCTAATTAGGTGAACCAGCAGACGTTTAAAATAACATTCTTAGAAGTGTTAACTTCTTGGGAATAACACGAGCCGCTACGACCAGACCTGATCATAATAAACACACTTCTGGTTACCAGCCATTATTTATTTATTAGCCTTGTCATGAGTTTCACTCTCCTACGTACGGGTTATTTGTGTATTGTTCCAGTCACGGTATTGTGCTTTATATATATATATATATATATATATATATATATATATATATATATATATATATATAATATAATATATATATATATATATAATATATATTATTATATATATATATATTTAAATATATTTTATTTATATAAATATATATATAGGGTTGGGTGGTCCTGTGGTTTAAAGCGTCATGTGGTTCTCGCTTACCATGGGGCAGGCCAGTACGACAGGGTTTCGAATCCTTGGCTACGCAGTGATATATAATATATATTATATATATATAATATATATATATATATATATATATATATATTATATATATATATATACACACACACTTTGTAACTGATTAATTCTTACTTCAACCGATTACCCTCAAGAGATAAGAAGTAAACAAGAAGTAAACTACAGTAAATTTCCCATAGGAGATAACAAGATCACAAGCAAGGGAAAATCACAATAAATATTACCCGCAGGAGATAACATAAGACGATAACATGATGACAAGGATGGTAAACTACATTAAATATTACTGTCAGACGATAACATGATCACAAGGAAGGTAAACTATATAAAATATTACTGTCAGACAGTAACTTAATCACAAGGAAGGTAAACTACATTAAATATTACTGTCAGACGATAACATAATCACAAAGAAGGTAAACTATATAAAATATTACTGTCAGACGGTAACTTAATCACAAGGAAGGTAAACTATATTAAATATTACTGTCACACGATAACTTAATCACAAGGAAGGTAAACTACATTAAATATTACTGTCAGACGGTAATATAATCACAAGGAAGGTAAACTACATTAAATATTACTGTCAGACGGTAATATAATCACAAGGAAGGTAAACTACATTAAATATTACTGTCAGACGGTAATATAATCACAAGGA